ATGAATTCTCCCTGTGATAGTCATTGGGATGCAGTTGTCCGCATTATCCGGTATATAAAATCGACTCCAGGTAAAGTATTACTGTTTGAGGATCGAGGTCACGAGCAGATCGTTGGGTACTCGGATGCTGATTGGGCAGGATCACCTTCTGATAGACGTTCTACGTCTGGATATTGTGTTTTAGTAGGAGGAAATTTGGTGCCCTGGAAAAGTAAGAAACAGAATGTAGTTGCTCGGTCTAGTGCAGAAACAGAATACCGAGCAATGGCTATGGCAACATGTGAACTAGTCTGGACCAAACAATTGCTCAAGGAGTTGAAATTTGGTGAAATCAGTCGGATGNGTCTAGTGCAGAAACAGAATACCGAGCAATGGCTATGGCAACATGTGAACTAGTCTGGACCAAACAATTGCTCAAGGAGTTGAAATTTGGTGAAATCAGTCAGATGAAACTTGTGTGCGATAATCAAGCTGCACTTCATATTGCATCAAATCCGGTGTTTCATGAGAGAACTAAACACATTGAAATTGATTGTCACTTCGTCAGAGAAAAGATACTCTCAGGAGATATTACTACGAAGTTTGTGAGATCGAATGATCAACTTGCAGATATTTTCACCAAGTCTCCCACTAGTCCTCGCATTGATTATATATGTAACAAGCTCGGTACATATGATTTATATGCTCCGGCTTGAGGGGGAGTGTTAGAGATAGCTATGTAATTGTCCCACATTGGAATAGGAGTAGTATCCCCTTTGTATAGAGTAGCTATAAATAGCACCTCTTGTATCGCATCACATACAATATCAATATATCATATTTTCTCCCATGCCTTCTCACAATGTGTATTATTTGGTGGTTTATGTTGACAATATAGTTATTACTGGCAATGATCCGGGTGGTATTACTAGTTTGAAGCATCATCTCTTTCAGCAATTCCAGATTAAGGATCTGGGTATATTGAAGTATTTTTTAGGTATTGAAGTCGCTCAATACAGAGGGTTCGGAAACAGCCTCTCTATTTTTGTTGTTCAAGACGCTCAATCTAGCTCTGGTATTGTTATTTCACAGGGGAAGTATGTTTTAGACATTCTTGAAGAGACAGGAATGACGGATTATAGACCCATTGACACTCATATGGATCCGAATGCTAAACTTCAGCCAGGACAGGGAAAGCCTCTTAGTGATCTTGCAAGATATAGACGGTTGGTTAATAAGTTGAATTACATCGCAGTAAGTGACCTGACATTTCCTTTCGAGTAAGTGTTGTAAGTCAATTATGAACTCTCCTTGTGATAGTCATTGGGATGCAGTTATCCGAATTCTTCAGTATATAAAAAATGCCCCAGGCAAAGGATTACTATTCGAGGATCGAGGCCATGAGCAGAACGTGGATACACAACCGTTGATTGGACAAGATTACCTTCTGATAAACATTCTATGTCTGGATATTGTGTTTTAATAGGAGTAATTTGGTGTCTTGGAAGAGCAAGAAATAGAATGTGGTTGCTCGGTCTAGTGCAGAAGCAGAATATCGAGCAATGTCCATGGCAACATATGAGCTACTTTGGATCAAACAGTTGCTCAAGAAAGTGAAATTTGGTGAAATCAGTGAGATTGAACTGGTGTGTGATAATCAAGTTGCCTTTCATATTGTATCAAATTTGGAATTCCATGAGAAGACTAAACACATTGAGATTGATTGTCACTTCATCGGAGAAAAGATACTCTCAGGAGATATTGTTATAGAGTTTGTGAAGTTAAATAATCAGCTTGCAGATATCTTCACCAAGTCCCTCACTGATCCTCGTGTTGGTTATATTTGTAACAAGCTCGGTACATATGATCTATATGCACCGACTTGAGGGCGAGCAGGGGTGTAGGCACCTTGCTTGAAGCAGTGTCACAGGACACCGCTTCGTCAATTTTTTTTGTAATATGTATGTATAAATAATTCATAAAATTAAAATATTGGGTATAAATATAAGAAATGTCACCCTTGCCGTTAGATTAAGTTATTCATTTGTTCACTTCTTCAAATATTGACACCACTTACAAAAATTCTTGCGTACGCCACTAAGGGGGAGTGTTAGATATGTTATGTATTCTTAGTATCCCATATTGGAAAATAGGTAGTGTGTAATATGTAAAGTGTATGTATAAGTAAGGCTCAATGTAAGTAAACAGTTAATAGGTATATTAATAATATTTTCTCCCGTGCTATTTCTCTCACACCATTTTTCAACACATAAAGAAGCGCAACCTCTTGCTTTTCTATTCTCTCTGGTTCTCCACAACTACACAAATTATCTCAATATATCTCCCCATTTTATAGGCAAAGGAGTGGACCTAAACCTCCTACAGAAAGAAATCGTAGTTGGTAGGCAACAACACCAAGGAATAGTGGGAAAAAGATAAACTAACTAGGAGATTGAGTTCCCTAGTCCCTACTCCATGTCAAACTTGGAAACTGAGTCATCCAAAATAAATGCCTAGTGGTGTCTCATGTCACCTATGGTCCATAATCATTCAACTTTTTTTTCTAGTCGAAAACCTTAGGTCCTATATATTAAGAATTTTAATTATCATTACCAAAGCCAAGTAAAAGACCCATTCAGATCATTTTGCTAATTTCTGTTTATTTTGGTTTTTCTCCAGGTTCTCTTGTAAGATTCAAGAGTCCACTCTACCAAATAAAAGAACCAGATTATAGGAAACGATTAGTCCTGTGAGAAGGGAGAAAAGGGAAAAACAGAAACAATGTTACCAAACCCATCATGGAGAAGGCATTTGCTTTGCAGGCACAAGGAAAGAATTTATAGAGATACATCAGAGGTTTATTTAACACAATTTAAGAAAAACTTTCTAAGATTCTCTTTCATGGATGTTTAGATATAAGAAAATGTTATTACTTTCAGTATGAAATAACACAATTCCGTGCAGTTCAAATGTAATATACTGCTGCTTTATTCTGTTATTTAATTCAAACGCAACCCACCTGAAGAATGCGAACTTTGTTGTTGTCCCGTGATAAAATCTTACTGATTGCCAAATTTGGAACTATCCTGCAACAATTCGGGACAAATTAACATTATTATGACCAAGCCGGAAATTATAATATCTCAATACAAACAAAGCAGTTAATTCCACAATAAGACGTCCTTGATTGCAAGATATTATAAAGGCTAGGAATTTGCTTTACACTGAATAAGACTATGATTCAACGAGTTTCTATTTCTAAGCATTTCAAACTTTGGATGAATTTCTAATGTCGAGTGCTTGGTTTAGTCTGTAGTTTAATTTCATTTTTACCATGCAATAATTAATTGACGAGGATTTACGCATCTTTAGGAAGCTAAGGTTTGTTCTTCCAGGGTTAGTCAAATGGTTCTATAGTACCATTGAATTCTTTTACTTTCACAAGAACCAGGATACAGAGATTGTATCTCTCTAAGCCGGTAAATCTGAAACATGGAATTAAACATCAGAGAGACTTTACTTAAGACAAACTAGAGAATTCTACCTTATATTACTGTTTCCAGCTTAAGAAACTTTTATGTAGCTAGCCAAAAGACATTTAGTGATATCTATGAATCAAAGCAAGACCCAGTTTCCCTCATTTCTGCCACTTAAAGGCACATCTAAAATATACACTAATTGAAATGTAATCACCAGAGGAAACAGATATCAATGATGAGTTTACATGAACAATTTACTATAAAAAACTCAAACATGATCAGAAGAAAACCCATAAAACTTACTCGGGAAGACTTTCATAAGCAGTCAAAACATTCCATACTTCACGAACTGGAGCCTTTACTGTAATACTAGCAACAACACAGCGATGAACCCCTCCATTTTCCTTCATCCAAAATCAATTTATCAAAGGGACTACCAAAATAATATGGCTTCGCACAAAAAGGTAAGTCATAGTATAAAGTTTATCAATTACCAGTAGACCATCAAATCTTCGGAGATGGACTTCATCCACCACGCATGGCTTGTCAAGTCTGCAAGCTTTCCCAAATATTCCCCAATTATTACTCACATCACTTGTAGCTGGTGCCAACGGGCCAAAAGTGTCTTTGACAAACTTGTCCTTTAAGTTTTCACAGGAAGATTTATTCTCATGGGATATGGCACAATCAATATCTCTCATCACGGAAATAAGGGAAGAACCAGGTTCTGCTTTGGTATTAGCACAAGTGACAGAAACACTCTGATCGCCTTGATAACTGTTTTCAGCTCTGTAGGACAAGGCTTGAAGATTTACTGGGAGGTCTGACCTGATAATCCTCTCCAAGAAAATGGCAGGAAAGTTGAACCTTGGTATGACACTAACTTCATAACTTAGTATAGCTGTTGAAGACCTGAAAAGGAAACCAGGGCAATAAGAAACTAAAGAAGAACTATGTCTACATGTAGAAATATGTCTGCATCATAAGTGCACTAGGGGAAATTGTCCTTTGACTCGTTTGAGGCCAATTCTCTCCTAATCCTACCTTATTTTCTGAAAAAGGCATTTGCAGGTTTTGACATTAATATAGAAGACAACATAAAAGGGAAATTAGGAAAAGAGAAGTTCTGTCTGCTCCAATAAAGATCTTACCTTTTTCCAGTTCTCACAGACCATCTGCCTTCAAACTTCTTGAAGTCACCGTCAACCATAGAGAAATGGAGTTCGCGAACATTATCCTAAATTTGGAGAATTTATAAAAGATATTAACCAAATCAAGGAAAATAAAGAGCAATGTAAGAAAAAGGCTGTCATCTAGACATAACCAAAGGAATCTTCAAGGAAATGTGCATTTATCACCATCCTCTCAGTAGGATGCAATGCGCTAGTTCTTATTGTTTTACTGCATGAATAGATTTTATGGGTTTGAATTGGACTACTCATCACAAAAGATGATTTAAAACATAAGATCAGTCGGAGAATATTTTCTTTATGCCTGTTAAGAATTTATATGATTTGATTTTATTAGGAGTTTATTCAGAAATACACTTACCAAAAATGTATACAATTGTAATTGTAATTGTTATAATTCCCAATCAAGCTTTTCAGCCTAATACTATGTCTTATGCTTTTCTGCAACATCAAAAATCCTCAGTCAATTTTGCTTCCCAAATCCAAAATCTCACCATCTTCCATTGGAGTTGTTAGATACTAGTATATATAATAATATACTAGTCTCCCACATCAGAGAATAGGTATTAGTGTTATGTAATGTCTGTAAACATATTATCTCCCATGCCTTCTCACATGGTATCAACGCATCAGTGAGAAATTTCTAGTATGCAGTAACCAGCGAGTCCGGGACAGTCACCGGCCTTCTTTCTGGTGACTTTCAGGGTGCTTTTTATGTTACTTCTCCTCGACTGGGTTTTTTTGTGAAACCTAACACCACCACCAGGTGCAGGGAAGAACCAAACACCAGAAAACCACGCCAGCAGAATCCCATCCACGCGCCTTCACGCGCTTCCAGAACCTCTGACGCCGGCGACGCGTCAGATCCACGTGCCGGCGAGTGACACCTCTTCGGGCTAAATTTTGGAGTAGAACTTTGTTTCCAAAGGAGTTGGCCAGCCTTTCCGAGTCAACCTTGCTATTTTTCTTTAGTTTCCGAGAAGTGTATAATTTTTCAACAAGATACAATGATTTCCGGCAAGCTATAGTAACTTTTGCGACATCTCTAGTGATTGTCTTTGATTTTTCTTCTTTTTTTTTGTGATATTTGATTTAGACGTCTCTTTAATCCAATTATGTCTCTTGGATTTGATATTTTCGGTTCTAAAAATAAGGGTTCTGATAATTCAAGCTTCATGATCACTTCAGAGCCCTTCAGTGATATAGTATCCTGTGGCGATCTATTGATCCAAGTTGATGTCTTTATTTCGTCTATTTCAGACATGTCATTTAGTTTGGGAAAAGGCTCGGACTTTATACACTAATGACATTTCTCATTTTTTATGATGTAATATCTAGGATGACAAATTTAAAGAAACAGGAATCCGATATGTCTACTTACTTGGAACAGGAATCTCTGCATGATTCTCAACACTATGTAGAAAGGAGGCTTGGGTATGCTTCCCAAGCTGATACGACTCAAAATCTAATGTAGACAAACTAGACAAACTAGGCACCATCTCCTGAAGCTTGGATAAACTCGGATGTCCTAAACGTCTGTGAATTAGGTCTGGAGGATCTGTAACTAGACATGTTATGGAGGGATTGAGTGAGTTAAGGTAGTAAAGGCTTGAGTGAGTTAAGGTAGTAAAGGCCTTCTGATTCACGCCTTGTGCCAATTGTGTGCCCCATACTGTGGTCCTGCATAATAAAAGAATCATCAATAAAATATATACCACAATGGAGGGAACGAGTCAAACGACTAACAAATGCAAGACTAAAAGGACAGCCAGGGACATAAAGAACGAAATCTAGAGTGACCGAAGATGGGGAATTAGCTTGTCCAACTTCTTTTGTTTTAGTTTGAAACCCATTGGCTAAAGTAATAGTGGGAAGAGACTATGAATACACAATATTCGACAAAAGTGATTTATTACCAGAGATATAATCAGAAGCGCTTGAGTCCATGACCCATGGTCCAAGAGTACTAGATTGGGAAACACAAGCAAAAGAATTACCAGCAACAGAAGTATCAATCTGAGTAACCGAGGCTACTTGTGGAGATGTTTGCTTACTTGCTCGATACCGAAGGAACTCATTATATTCCCCTTCAGATAAAGAAAATCTCGGGTTACCTGTAGTCTCGGTCTGAGCAACATAAGCATTTTTGGATGGTCGATCATGTAAAGAATAGCAAACTTCACGAGTGTGTCCAAGTTTATTACAATAAGAACACTTAGGTCTTGATCTTCCAAAACGACCGGTACGTGAGACAAATCTCGTCGGAGAAAAGAAATTCCGATGGGCGCGTGAGAGCACGTGGAGACTCTGATGTTGGAGATTATTTTTGGGGTTTGGCTGCTGAAGGTTGGAGGACCTTTTGGCGGTGTTGGTTTTTGCACAACACCACCAGAAATTGTCATGACGAAAAACAGCCCTACAAAGGTCGCCGGATTGAAGCACGGCGATTATTTCGGCTGAGTTTTCTTTCCCGGATATTTTCTCACAACCTCGCTCTGATACCATGTGAATTACACAGGAAAAATTATATTATGTTGACTTATTAATAATGATACAATGACCCCTATATATAATATATGTTATACTCCTACTACTTATGGGACTAGGATTATTTACATATAACTATTTAACTAACAATAATTAAAGTACTTTTGGCGATCTATACAATCTAAGACAAGTATTGCGATTTCACAAAGAAAGTACGCCTTAAATATACTAGAGGTGACCGCCATGGCAGATTACAAACCTATTGATACTCCTATGGAAATGAGTGTCAAACTTGTTCTTGGATAGAGACAGCTTTTGACAGATATTTTATTTGCAGTAAGTGTCATCTGTCAATTCCTCCAAACACGGTGTAAAGGTCATCGGGATGCAAAAAATTCGTATCTTCAGATACATCAAAAGAGCTTGGGAACGAGGATTCTTATTCAAGACAAGGGTCATCTAAACATTGTTAGATATTTTCATACAGATTGGGCAGGTTCTCCGTCATATAGACGTTACACTTTTGGATATTGTCTTGTGATTGGAGGAAACCTAATCTCTTGGGGAAGAATAAAGCAAGATGTTGCCGCCAGATCTAGTGCATGAGCAGAATATCAAGCTATGCCTCTTGCCATTACTGAACTTATCTGGTCGAAATAACTCCTCCAAGAGTTATGGTTTGTAGAAGTCAAAGAAATGAAGCTAATTCGCAACAATCAAGTTGCTCTCCACATTACCACAAATCCTGTTTTTCATTAGAGGACAAAACATATAGAGGTGGATTGTCATTTAATTAGACACGAGATCGAGTCCAGATGCATAGTCACCGGCTTTGTTAGCTCGAAGGATCAGTTAAATGTTTTTACTAAATCCCTAAGATGACCTCGGATCCAATACATTTGTAACAAGCTTGGAGCTTATGATATATAAGCTCCTGCTTGAGGGGGAGTATTAAGATTCAATATGATTTGATTTGATTTGATTTGATTTGAGATTTGATTATGAGCTTATTCTGTGATTATACACTTGTCAAAATTGTATGCACTGTAACTACTATAAATTATCAATCAAGCTTGAGGGAATAATCAAGCTTTTCAACCTAATACACTCTAATTTCTCAATGCCAAGACTATGGAAGCTGGTAAATAAGTTCACAAGAGCTCAATTAAAAGTCTTCCATCTTTCAGAGATCCGTTCAATCACTCTGCATATTAACTAAATATAACTATGTACCACATCTAACATTATTATGTAATGAATCGGCATCTCTTTTATGCTGACTAAAGAAGATATTCCTACCTTAATTAAATAGCCTGACTCTGTAGCAGTGACAATTTGAACTCAAACCCATTTGACCCGCCCAACCTGCCCAAGGTTGGACCGGTCACTGACCCGCCTATTTGTTGAACTCAGCATCTTGACCCAACTCATCTCAACCCATCTAAAGTTGAGCTGATTTTTAGCCCAAATTGATCCATGACTAACCTTGTTAAAATATCTTTAAAATAATTGATCCATGACTAACCTTGTTACATATGACCATAATTAAAAGAAAAAGTCTTATTTGATAAAAAATAATTCATAGAAAACAATACATATTAATTAAAGCTTGATAAGAAAAGGGTGGGTTGGGTTATGACCCAAATTTTAGCCCATTTTGACCCAGGCAATCTCAGACCAAGTAACTTTTGGGCGCGTCACTGACCCACTTATTTATTGACTCAGCCCATTTTGACTCACCCAATATCAGTTCAACCCGCCCATTTGACACCCCTAGTAGTCAGGTTGACTGTTTGCTATGGCATTAGGCCCATGTTAGAAAAATAATTATCAAAGAAAGGCAGTTATATTTTCTTTACGGCAAGTTGAAACCTAAAATATTGGAAGGTACCCACAATGTTGCCGAAATCATTTTAGTGAAGTCTTCGGGTCCTAGTCGAGTCAATTCTACCTTGGGCACCTCACTCCCAGTAAAAATGGTTTTGACGCAAACAGCCACCGGAAAAGTTGCACGGCAATTGTTTCTTCCTGTAACCGTTGGTAGATTGCACGAGTATTTTCTCACTACCGCTCTGATACCATGTGAGAAAGCACGGGAAAAAATATTATTGATATTCTATTAAATGTTTTATAGTAGCTCTATTTATAACTATACACAAATCACAATACATATTCTACTCTTATTCCATGTGGGACTAGGGTTATTTACATGACTATCTACCAATTACCTAACAAGAATTACAACCATTTACATGCTACACATGAAATGCAGCTGCGAAATGGATCTGAAAATTGTTTAGATATACACAGATATTGCTAATAAGGAGACAAGCTCTGAAAAATAAAATTTAGAAATGAGGCTCCTACGAGAACTTTCTCATGAAACATCGAAGTAACTGACATTCTTTAGACGTCCCCCAGTGTTATAGATGACCGCAGGAAAAATGAATATTGTTCTATATGCGAAAAAATAAAAATAAAAAGAATTATCGCTACTTGTGAAAAATGTAATCATATTCGGCACAATGACTTTGCTAAGGAGAAGCACACTCAAAAAGTTATAAAGTCTATAAGTACCTTTTAACCCAGACACCTATACTTAAATACAGAAGAAACTTCATATAACTAATAACCACTTCTTAAGTAACATTTTCTAGTTGAGTCAACTGTTATATTGGGATAATTTATAGAAACCCTCATAGCTTTTGCATCTGACGCATTTGGCTCTGGAGATTTAAGGATCAGTATGTCATAGCTCAAGGACAATGAATGAAAACTAGAACAATACAGTAGTCATAACCTCACTTAATCGAAACAAAAAGATACGGGAATTTCGACTGTGAAATGGGTTTGGTCTTTGGCTCTATGGGGATTGACGTGAACCCAGTAACTGGTAAACAAAAGCAAAATAACCAAAAGGAATTGCTCATTTGCAACTCCATCAATTGGATAAGAAATAGGGAAGAGGATAGGCAATGGACAAATATTATTTATCAAGAAGACCGGATAGACACTAGTAAGATACTGTCTGTATTGGCTTATTTTCCATCAGATCAACTTTTTGTTTTTCAGACTTGTGGCACAACTCTTGTTTCTAGACAAGCATGGACTGTAGTTAGAGTATGCTAATAGTCTACTATTAATTTAAAATACCCAATCAAATTTTTATGTGAGCCTTCGTAGATTAGAATGTCACAGGTCCCAAAAACAGATTTCATATGCTTACCGAGTTAATGAATTCTTGAAGATCCAGTACAACGCGAGCTTCTATGTGCCAATAAAGCGCTTGTTGGAGACCTCTTTGCTCCAACCAAATCCGTCCGGGACGTGGACAAGTAATTCTCCTACTGTGATTAACAATTCATTCATGTGTCAGCAATCTAGTGCAAAGTATATGCATAAATCATCATAGCCATAGCCTCAAATATATGAAATACGAATTTCATGGGAATATGACAGACAGAAAACTTCAAGATAATATAAAAGTTGCAGTATCTGATGATAGATTCTTCCTGGCATTCAGCTGCTAAGTACAAGTTAAATTTTTTTTAGTTTTGGAAATACGAGATCGAAACATTTCCCAAATGTCATCAAATATGGATGTTAGCAAAGACCGCAGAGACACACAATTCAGATATCCATCTCTACTGTGAGTATTATGGTCATACATGTGTTTATGCTGAAATTGTACCTGCAAAAGGTGCAATACAGCATCTCACTGCAGTAAGTCATAGTGTGACGACCCGATAGGTCGTTTTGAACACTAGCCCTTATTTCCGTGTTTCGAAACCTCCATTAGCTTCGTCTGATCTTTCTTGGTTTGCATGCATGGTCCGTGTCGCTTTTTGAAAAGCTTTTATGTGAAAATTTTAAAGAAAACATGATTTTTGACTTTAAAAACAACTTGAGTTGACTACGGTCAACATTTTGTGAAAACGACCTCGGATCGGTGTTTTGACGATTCCGCTAGGTCCGTATCGTGATTTTGGACTCACGCGTATGCCCGGAATTGAAATCGGAATTCCCTAGGTTGATTTGACTTATTTTGCCGAAAACTAGTATTTTGAAAGTTTGGAAATTTTCTAAGTTTGACCGTAAGTTGACTTCATGGCTATCGGGTTTGGATTTTGATGTTGAGGCTTGTTATAGGTCCGTATTACTATTTAAAATAGTCTGCATAATTTGGTGCAATTCGGAACTGGTTTGACATGATTCGGACACTTAGATGTGATTCTAGTTGTTCTTGAGTTTCCTTTGAAATTTCATTCATTTTAATGTTCGATTTGTAGATTTAGATGTTATTTTGGTGATTTAATCGCGCGCGCGTTCATATGATGTTATTACACTTGTGTGCATGATTGATTTGGAGCCCAAGGGGCTGGGCTCGGGTGAGTTTCGGACGTGTTTCGGATGAATTTGGATAGTGCAAAGACTGTTGGTGCAGTGCCCAGTTGAGGTGTCTCATGCAGATCTCGCATTTGCAAGGTCTAACTCTCATTTGCAGCCTCGCTTTTGCGGACAAATGTGTGCATTTGCGAGGAAATTGTTCGCAATTGCGAACTGTCCCGGATCGCTTTTGCGATCACTTAGTCGCATTTGCGATGCCTGGCAACAGTAGAGCATCTTCGCAATTGCGAAGGTGTGATCTTCGCATTTGCTATCATTTTGTCGCAATTGCGACATCTGGACTTCTGAGGCACGGTTAGCATTTGCGACCCTTGTCTCGCAATTGCGACATCCGCAGTTGGGTAAAAGAGGGAAAAATCGGGTCTTAGCTCATTTTACACCATTTCTCAACCCTAAACATTCTGGAGGCGATTTTTCTAGAGGATTTTCTCCCCAAAATCATTGGTAAGCAACTCTAATCCATTTCTTTTCAATTACCCATTACTTTTAATGTGTTTTCAATATCAAATTTAGGATTTCATGGTATAGACCTCAAATTGAAGTCGGATTTCGAAACAAATCACATAACCAGGCTCGGGGGTGAATGGGTAATCGGGTTTTGGTCCGAACCTCGGGTTTTGACCAAGCGGGTCAGGGGTTGACTTTTGTTGACTTTTACAAAATTGATCAAAATTGAACCTCTTTCATTAATAGGCAGTTTCTAAAGCTTATTTTGAATCATTTGATCGATAATTTGCTAGATTTGGTTGGGTTGGAGGCTTGTTCAAAAGGCAAGGCCGTGGTTGGTTGATTGCTTTGATTCGTGGAGTGAGGCAAGTATTGCGTCTAACCTTGACTTGAAGGAATTAGGAATTCTTGAACTATGTGCTATGTGAATCATGTAGGGAAACGACGTATATGCGAGGCGACGAGCGTATATACGGCGTCATAGGATCTAGCATGCGGGGATTTGATATTTATTTCCATGTTATCATTTATTTCATGTTATTCTTGCTTCATGCCTTAATTGTTACATGTCTTTAAATTTTAATTGACTTCCGTCCCATATCTATCACTTGTCATTTAATTGTCCCTTGTCTAAATTTGTCCATTCTTTCCATGACTCCTGCTTAATTGCTATCTGCCTCTACTTGTCTCAATTGCACACTTTAATTGTCACATGCTTTACTTGTTCTATTGTTTTGTAATATTTGTTGCATTCTATAATGTGGTTTCACTTGCGTGAGTTGTTTAGTTGTTAGATACAGATGAATTGGTAAAGTTGAGTGGACAAGTGAGATAAACCAAGGTACCCTTTTTTTGAAGTTTTGACAAACTAGGATGTCCCAACTGTTTATGTAATAAATCTGGTAAATCAGTAACAGGACAAGTTGTTGAAGGAAGACAAGGTGTGAGTCCATGTGATTTTACAAGGATAAGGTAATAAAGTCCATCTGATTCACGTTGGGTACCAATGACCCGCCATATACTGCGTTCCTGTATAAAAACAAGGTCATCAAGAAATAAAACAGCACATTTAAGTGACTTGGCTAAGCAACTAACAGCTATGAGGTTAAAAGGACTACCGGGAACATAAAGAATTGAATCTAAAGATAGGGAAGAAAGTGGACTTGCTTGACCTATTCCAGTTGCCATGGTTTGAGACACGTTGGCCATTGTGACTGATGAAAGAGATTAAGAATATGAAATAGCAGTGAAAAGAGATTTATTATCATAGATGTGATCAGATGCACTTTAATCAATGACCCAAGACTCCGAGGTTGCAGATTGACAGATACAAGTCACGCTACTACCTATTTGAACAATGGAAGTTGTCTCTGAAGATGTCTGTTTACATGCTTTGTACTGAAAGAACTCAATATAATCCGGTAGAGAAACCATCCAAGTATTCATAGTATTGGATACCATTCTACAACCAATTTCTCAAGTTCTTGACAGGTTAAGTTGGAGAGTTATTCCTTCTTTTTTTTTTTGGAGAAACACTGTTCACTTGCCGGAAAATAAGAAAGTTGTTGGAATTTGGTGTAACCTGGATGGGTAAGCTCGGAAATACCTCGCGACCATACTGTCCTCAAGAAGTACTGCCGGAAAGTGGTCGGAAACACATGCACACGTCGGCGCGTGGGAGCGCGTGTAAGGTCTGTTGCCGGAGATTCTTGCTGGGGTTTGCTCACCGAAGGGTGCTTAACTTTGTGGTGGTGTTGGTTTTCGCACAACACCAACAGAAAAAGAGATTGACGCCGGACAGCCACCGGAATTCGCACAGTGACCCCTTTTTTCCTTCCCGGAGTTGCTGGTTTTTTGCACAGCGATGAATCTCTCAAGTGTGCTTTGATACCATGTAAGAACGCACGGGAGAAAAATCTATTATTGATGTTAATTGTAATTCAATAAACCCAATAAGTACACATAATATATAAGCTACTCTTATTACCTATGGGACAAGGACTAATTACATATATATTCACATAGTTGTTCTAACATTAAGACAACAAGATCTACCTTGGGGGGATTTCTGCTATTAGCAGCAACACAAGGACGACATCGTTCCCGCACTATTGATCAATTGTAACACGTACGTCTCTGTCCAATTTAAGGAACGTCCTGGACTGCCCCTTCCATTTCCTTCTCTTCCTTTTTTACCAATTTGTATGTGTTCCTTTCTACATTCCTCTATCATTACACTCTTGCTATTCAAACCAAAAAATGTCATCAGACATCATGCAAGTTATGCTTAGGGTATCTGGACCAGACAAGTCTCCAAAGAGAAAAAGAGGAAATACTATCGCCAGGGTAGTGATTACCCCATGTTTCGTAGAAAGGGATATGGCTACCTGATAACCCTAGGTAAATCTCACAGCGACAAAACACGAAAGAGATGTCGGGTATATAAGGGATCAAGCCTTTAGACCTTAGTGACGCAGTAAATGCAGAGCAGCACGATCGCGACGCTGAGTCCCTAAGCAGGTGTATGTGACACCCTAGGCAAATCAAAGAGGGGAGAGATGAAGCAAGTCTTAGTTGCAAAGCCGTATGGGCATAAGCCCTATTACAATAGCAGCAGTAACCCTTTCTGTAATAGCAGTAGCAACTCTCAATGCAGTAGTACCAATGTAATATGTTGTATTACTCTACCTTAATATCTACAACGGAAAAGGCCTAAAAATGCCACTCAAATATCAGAAATGGCTTGCTATGCCATCCGTTAAAAGGTCGTTATTTCCATGCCACTACCGTTACACTTTTGGCCTATTTATGCCACTGTCTACTAACGGTTCCATTTTTTTATTTTTAAATAATAAGAATTAATTTTTCAACCCCACCTTTGCCACGTGTCTTTATATTACTAGTTCTTCTTTACTTGACCCTACATTTCTTTTAACCTTGGTTGACATTTGAGGAGATGGAGGCTGCCGTATTGCGACCTGCAAAATTTCCGGCAACATGTTCCACCTCAACCTCAATATCATCTCTTCAGCAGCCGTTGGGTTCCTCGTTCCAAAATCTTTCAGAATGACTTCCTCCTTTAAGACGCCCATGATTGCCCGAGCTTCCGACCCCAAAACTGACCAACCAAATCGCAGCACTGATGAACCTGGCCTTCCTTTCCTACCACAGGTTACCCCAGTCCCTCCCTTTAACCCCTCTCAGAACACTTTAACTTTTCGTTAATCACGATTTTCACGATCATTTTGGCAATATTTTCAAAATCTTAACGAGTAATTTATTATATTTTATTTACATACTACTACTCACCTGTGAGGTCGTTTTTGAAATTTTATGACAAGCAGGAGGATTTGAACTTCTTATTAAAACTGGGAGTTGGTTTAGTCGCGGGAGGAGCCGTGATAAAGTATGGAAGTGTCATTTTCCTCTAGGGTTTAGTTTTGGGTTATGTGGTTAGATTTTATCGGGTTGGGCTTGGTTAATTATATATAATCAGGGTTAAAAGAAATTTAGGGTCAAGTAAAGAAGAACCAGTAATATAAAGACACGTGTCAAAGGTGGGGTCGAAAAATTAATTCTTATTATTTAAAAATCAGAAAATGGAACCGTTAGTAGACAGTGGCATAAATAGACCAAAAGTGTAACTGTAGTGGCATGGAAATAGCGACCTTTTAACGGATGGCATAGATAGGTCATTTATGATAGTTGAGTGGCATTTTTAGGCCTTTTCCGTATCTACAATGATATCCTTTGAAGCAAAACAAAGCAGAAAAAAAAGGATAAGGAGAATCTAAAACAAAATCAAATTTTGGAAAACAGAAGAATGCATTTTCAATAACAACATAATGGGGTGTGTATACATTAAATGGTGTTACCTGCTAACGAGATTAGGGACGAAATCGGCAAGCCTTTCGTAGTCAGTGAGAGCATTCCAAACAGAATTCACATCAGCGTTCACCGAAATCTCAGCTTTAATCCTCCGTTCTCGCCAAGACACCACTTCCACTTCACACCGAACCTGCTTTCTATCTGCGGCAACCACCACATCTCCTGCTCCTCCTCCTCCTAACAGCGGATCCTCTCTAATTCCTCCTTTTCTGCTATTGTAGGAATAGGAATTCCTACTGCTTTTATCACTACTGACAATCTGATGCTTATTGACATCCAATCTAATACTGTATTCGGAAGCTGAGAAGCTGGCTTGAGAACAAGAGCAAGATGGAACTTTCTTCTTGTTATTCGCATAGTTTGTAGGTCCGATTATGAAACTGAAACACAAAGTACGCATGCTCCGACCAAAATTTTGTCACTAAGAGAGAAATGGGTAATGGTGACTAGGGAATGTGAATAACTTGGGAGTGAGGGGGACACAAGCGGTTATCTATTTTTAATTAATTAATTTTAATAATGCCAGAACTATTTTTTATTGAGCTGCATAATCATGTTTACTGTATGCTTTGATATGATGGAAACTGATGTGGTTGCCTTACTTATATTTGCGCTTGACCGTTAATTCATGACCATATACTTACACTTGCTATGGATAGAGAGGGTAAGTAACGAGCGGTCACATAGGCTTATGATTTTATTTTATTTTTATTGATAATGATTGTAATTTGATTCAAAAAATTTTAAAAGAAAAGGAGATTTTTAAAGTTTCATTAGAGTAAACATGATTAGAGAATTCTTCTTCTACAATATCGTCAATAATTTTTTCAATTATAAGACTTTGTAAGTCTTTGTATTATCTAATCACCTTTATAATAGTGATTAACGTTTTTTCATCGAAAAAAGCTGTATAGAAATTCATGATTAATCTAAGTATTCACGAGATAAAAAATCAGGAAGAGAGTTATCAACTCCCTTTTATATACTGAATTTCAAAATCAAAAGGCGCTAATTGATCTTTCTTAAATGAATTAATATATATATATATATATATATATAACATAAATTGAAACTGATGAAGTATTTTTTTTGCCTCTTTAAAGGAAAAATATATCACCTAGATATTTGGTACTGGCACTTTAAAATTCTAACGAGGAATATAAGGAGAATCTTAAACTTTCATATTTCTACCAACGAAGGTTGTAGTGGAGTGGTAAGTACTCCTTCATTCTTAACCAGAGGTCTCGGGTTCGAGCCCCTAGGTATGGAGTCGCCTTTGTTAGGGAGAACTTTACCCCTCAATGTGGGACTTCCCGGTGCGAATACAGATTTAGTCGGGCCCCAATGTGGGTACCGGATGATCACGCCCAACTCTAGTCCTAAAAAGGATAAGCAGTCGCTGAAAATATAATCCGGTCTAAAAGTTCGGAGTCGAATCCCACAGAGAACTATGGCTTAGCTATATCTGTTTAATATCACTAAAAAGACAAGTTTGAACAATTTTCTAAATTATAAAGATTGAGATTTATATTTCTAACTAATTAACTAGCAAATACTAGAAAGCAGGAAAATTATCAACTAACGAGACAAAGGGTTGGAGACTAAATTAAGGAGGTCTAGAGTTATGATTTCCCCAATTATCGGAATCCTTCTAGTTATGTTCCCTACAATTTTGCCAATGTATTCTCTACTGATCGTGAGCACTTTAGGTGTCGTAATTCTCTCTCGAGCAACTACAATAATTTACTAGATATATTCTCTCGAACTACGCTAGTTGGCTTTATTTAACTGCTCACTATGACCACGTCAAGGCTTTGTTATTTCTAAACCTACCTTTAAACCCGCTGTATTGATTTCTCACATACGCTAGGAGTGACGTTGTTCAACAACTACCTAAATATGTATCCTTTCTCAACCAACACATAATAAATAGGCACAGTCAATCGATGGCCATTCAATCAACAACAATAAATACGTAGTTGAACAAGGAGAGAAATCCAACGGCTCAATTATATAAAAACATAACAAGAATTTATCCTACAAAAGGTTCTATCAAAACCCTAGATAACAAATTAGCTATTCATAATAGTATGTAAAACTACAATACTAAAAGTCATAACCAACAATGAAACATAGGAAGAGGAAGGAAAAACTCATAGAAGAATCCCCCGCCTTGCTCCTATTGTGTCTCTGCCTCCTTAGGTCGAATCTGTGTCAAAAAATCTGTCCAACCTCCTCAAAAAACTATTTTTCCATGTATATATACCAAGTAGGGTCGGGCCCAAATAATTATACCTTCTCCTACATGAAAAAGGACAATTTTTCAGGTTTGGATGCTCCCGGGCGCGGTATTTTCCAAGTGCACTGCCTCAGTCTGTGTCCAGTTCAGTTATTGCGGTTTCGACCGCATTTTTCACCCTTCTCCATTTGGAATCTGGAAAAATGTAAAATATGAAAGTTGTATCCTTTTGAGTTAGCTTTCCAACCATATATTATATAGCCCAAATGGAGTTTGGACCAAAGAGTTATGTCTATTTTACTAGACAGTGCGCAATATACCTACTCGGGTCTTCGTTTGCTCTTAACTATCAAATTTGATCACTAAACACGATACCGGCTTAATTCTTTGAGATTTTACTCATACTTCAAATCTTTAAATCACTTGAATTCATTTCATAACATCTATGTAGCTTGGAATCACTCCTACAAGGCATAAAACACACAATTAGTGCAAAACACTAGCGATTAAAGCTCAAACTCAATTAAAGTGTAGTAAATTAGAGTGTAATAACCGACTAAAATATGCAATTATAATCTATCATCACAAAACACCTGGTGAGAAACTAAAAAAAACTTTCATATTTCTAATGAGGAGAAATAAGGAGAATTAACTGTGTAGTAGGGGTAAGGAGGTCACACTGATAAAACAATTAAAACATTTAACGCAAAAGAATTAACTAATACTTCAAGTAATTGATTTTACAATTAAATTCTAAGCTAATATGTGAAATTATGTAAAATGACCAAAATGCCCCTCAGGCCCACGTCTTGTAATCGGGTAAAATTCACATTTTCAGAATCCTCATACCCTCACGAGTCTAACCATACCAAAATTATCCAATTCCGATACAATTTGATCCTTCAAATCATCATTTTACATTTTTGAAAGATTTCACAAGTTTTCTTCCCAAATTCCATCCCAAATCACGAATTAAATGATGAATTCAATGATGGATTCATGTACTCAAGCCAAATGTGAGTTAGAATTACTTACCCCGATGAATTTCTGGAAAAACCTTTGAAAAATCACCAAAATCCGAGCTTTCTAGGTCAAAATATGAAATAAAATCCAAAACCTCGTATTTATAGAGCACCCCCAAGATTTGCACCACTGCGGACCGCACAAAAACTAGTGTTGTCCCCAAAAAACCAGTGTTGTCCGCACAGGTTTTGACTGCAGTGACAGGCTTTAGTATTTTGGACATAACCTTCTCTACAAATGTCCAAATTGTGATTTATTTACTTTTCTTGAAACTAGACACGAAGGGCTACAACTTTTGTTTTTGAAGCATCCCAAAATTCCTTGTAGATCAAAAGATATGAGCTTCCGAAGTAGGACCAGTGAAATGTTCCTCGCCGCGGACCGCATTGCATTTTGTGTGGCCGCACAACCCCCACCGCGGATGCACTGGATTTTGTGCGGACCGTACTGGTGGGTTCCAAGGCCTGCAACTCTTCTGGACCTGCAACAGCTATGATTTTCGACCTAAAACATCCCGAAACTCACCCGAGTCATCGGGAGTTCAAACCAATTGTACCAACACATCCCATGACATCGTTCAAACTTGTTCAAAACTTCGGAACGCTCACAACAACATTAAATTACCAATTTAACATAGGATTCAAGCCTATGAACTCCAAGAACTCTTAACTTATGCTTTCGATCAAAAAGTCTATCAAATCTCGTCCGAATAACCTGAAATTTTGCAAGCATGTCACATTCAATACTACGAAGCTACTCCAACTTTCGGAATTCCATTCCGACCCTTAGATCAAAATCTCACTATCGGACCGGAAACTTCAAAAATTCGACTCTCGTCATTTCAAGCCTAAATTAATTGTGGACCTCCAAAACACAATCTGATCATGCCCCCTAAGCCCGAAATCACTCAACGGAGCTAACAGAACTGTCGGATTTCCATTTCGAGGCCGTCTTCACAATGTTCCGACTACGGTCAACTTTCCAACACTTAAGCTCTCATTTAGGGACTAAGTGTCCCAAAACTCTCCGAAACTTAAAATCGAACATCCCGGCAAATCAAAATAGCAGAAATAAACTTGGGGAAAGAAGTTAATAGGGGATCAGGGCGTTAATTCTTAAGACGACCGGCCGGGTCGTCACATCCTCCTACACTTAAACATTCGTTCGTTCTCGAACGAGCATAGAGACATACCTGAAGTAGTGAAAAGATGAGGGTAACGGCTGCACATATCCTGCTCGGTCTCCTAGGTCGCCTCCATTACCGGCTGACCCCGCCACTAAACCTTCACTGATGCAATGTTCTTTGACCTCAGCTTTCTAACTTGTCTGTCCAATATTGTCACTGGCTCCTCAATATAAGATAGATCCTTGTCTAACTGGACTGAACTGAAATCCAACACGTGCGACGGATCGCTGTGATACCTCCGGAGCATCAAAACATGAAATACCGGATTAACTCCTGCCAAGCTGGGAGGTAAGGCAAGCTCATAAGCAACCTCCCCCACACGCCTCAATATCTCAAAAGGGCCAATAAACCTCAGAGTCAACTTCCCTTTCTTCCTGAATCTCATAACGCCCTTCATAGGCGAAACCTGAAGCAGAACCCGCTCTCCAACCATATAGGAAACATCACGAACTGTCCAGTCTGTGTAACTCTTCTGTCTGGACTAGGCTGTGCGGAATCTATCCTGAATTACCTTAACCTTCTTCAAAGCATCCTGAACTAAGTCTGTTCCCAATAATCTGGCCTCACCTGGCTCAAACCAACCCACCGGGGATCTACACCGTCTCCTATATAAAGCCTCATATGGTGCCATCTGAATGCTGGACTGATAGTTGTTGTTATAAGCAAACTCCGCCAATGGCAAGAACTGATCCCAATATCCTCCAAACTCAATCACACACGCACGGAGCATATCCTCAAGAATTTGAATAGTGCACTCAGACTGTTCACCGTTGGACAAAAATAATAAAATGAATAATTAAGTTAATAGTTCACCGTTGGATTGCCTAACAGCGACATTGGGTGCCATTATGACCTATAGTGGGAATTGGGTCATGACAGTTTGGTATCAGAGCACTAGGTTCATTTAGGTCTCACGAGTCATAAGTATGTCTTGTAGAGTCTTGTGGATTGGTATCGAGACGTTTGTACTTATCTTCAATAGGCTACATGGCTGTTAGGAGAACTTCCCTTCTTGATCCCCCGTCGTGCGATTTGATTTATTGAAGTTTATGTCTTCATTTTCTTCATACCCATTCGTACGTGATGTCGGGAGCATTCAGTATCAGTTGGGCACCAACGAGTT